ACATCTGGAAATTAAAAGAAGAAAAGAAAGACTATAACATTAAATGGAAAATAATCAAAAAATGCCAACCTTACAACAATATAACCAAAAAATGTAATCTATGTCTAAGCGAGAAATTTATCATTATTTGTAAAAAGCACTTATGTTCCTTAAATAGACGAAACTAGACCCTGTATGCAGGGTTGACACGTACCCTTTGTTGTGCATGATGTTGTGAGATCATTAGTAAATGAGGCCTTATTAAAACCTTACTGATACAGAATAAAGAAATGATTTGATCCATCGAGCCTTGCCAAGATATATGTGATTTTTGCGATAAGCTTATATGTGGTGGCTCTTAAAATTTCAGCTGTAACTGCCTTTGTGATTCTGCAGTATAATTTTAAGGTCAGATATACCCGGAGATATATAACTAGGCATGATTTGGTTACAACGTGACGCTTTATTAACTTTTGATATGATAGTAACACAATATTTTTGCACATCTACATTAAAACTCGACATATCTATTGCAGATGTTTGAATAGCCATGGAATTAATAAGCATTTTCTAAAGAGTTGTATTGATATTCAATCATTGGAACCCAATCACTATATCGTTGCCGTTGCTTCACGAGTAGTAAGCGTGTTGATCTCTGTAGTGAGATCTCCTCGTCATCACAATTCAACATACCCTTGGTCCGAACACCCAGACAAGTAATGAGTTCCAGATTTTGGTCGTAAACCTTCATGTTCTGTTCCATATTCGTTAGTAGAGACAATATTCATCAAAATGGCGGATAAAACATTGTGCAGAACGAGTTGGAAATGTTGCGAACGGGATTATCGACAGGCTATAGCGTTCGGAATACACAACGTAATGTGATTGGCTACCGGATATATAATTCACAATGTGATTGGCTACGAAGATGTACCGAAGCCAAACTTTCGACATTGTGAAAAAAAAAAAAAAAAAAACAAGAAAGTGTCAGCATTTTACTACACGTACCCCCTGCATAGCAGGGTACGTGTAATAAAAACATAAAACGATACGATTCGATAAAACGTTAGAGTACAAATATTTACTACAAAACTAGTGTTAATTAAACAATAGAAAACAATAGAATTAGCAGTATTTAGCAGTATTTAGTGGTATTTCAATTTAAGTGTTGGTAATCTATATGTCAGGTATATTTATGTTTAAATCACTTATCAGACTTATCACAGATTAATTTTCTCTTTTTTTCGGCTTATTTGAGTCCATGGCGTTTTTCTAAAGTCGAATTCTTTTCGAAATTTAGTTTTGAATATGAATAGAACTTTCCAATTCTATATTTATAAATAACATTTAATCAACACATTAATCATGCTTTTTTAAAATTTTGATTAAAAAATAATAATTTAATTAATTAATTGATTAATTTTATTTAATCCCTTTCGTGTCTGTGTGGCCTGGTACTTACTCTCCGAGGTCCCTAGCCAAGATGGCGGCCGAGTCAAAGAGACCACCAGGTTTTACCAATCTAAACAATCTAGCTGCAGCTGAGGTATAAAAACCTATTGCTGTTGTCATGATTTCTATTTTTTCTTTATAGCAAGTAATTCTCTGTTTGCACATCTGCTAAACTGTTGATTTTATTAGGTTGGGGGAAGAATTCTATTTGCTACAGATGATTGGTTTGCAGTAGCTGAAAATTTGTTGAAGGTCCGTAGCAACAATACTTGATTTTGATATTACACATTGTAACACTCTTCCTTCACGATACCAAACGACGATGTTTACAAAGCGACAACGAGGACTGGAATTTTAAGCTCGCTTTTAGTATGCACTCGTTAAGGTATCATTATGTATCACGATTTTCTCTTGATTAAATACTGCCCGTCATTTAGTCCATTCAAGACCGTGACGGGCAGTAACGTAACGGCATCGCTGTTAGTTTGTGTACATATGGACTTCTTTTAGCTCACAATAAGCGCTTTATATCTCTATTTTAACTAATAACAGTTCAATTAACTGTTTGAAAGAGTTTGCTTTCGATTGTGAGAAAACCTACGGCCGACCAACACTCAGTCATGTCTTAACTCAAGGCGAAAATTTCTTAAGTGCCAAGCCGGCTATATAG